GTTAGCTGGAAGCATCTGCACAGGAATCACCTGTATTGGAATAGATGATAAGTTATATAAGATTATCCTTGTATCCCTGAACTGAATTTCAGATTTCAGCTTCTGGTTCTTAGTGGAAGGTGGCTGATTCCTTCTATTGTAGGGGGGAGAGAAAACGCAGAAATTCAGTGTTTACCTATGAACAGAGGGAGAAAGTAGCAACTCTAATAAGAACTGAGGCAAGTCTTTGTCTGCTTTATAGAATAAAAATGGCAGTGAATCAAATTCAGTGAGGGGCCGAAGAGGAGTCAGGGGGCCAGCTAAAGACAGGACAGTTTCCTGAGGGAGCTGGTGTCTGGGATTGAGCTTCCTGGGAAGAAGGTCCTGGAAGTGAGTCCTGGCTGCACAGGATTACCAGCAATTGTCTTTCAGGAATGCCCATGAACATGTTTGGAAAGAGCAGCAGAGGAGAGATGAGGGGCCAGAATGCGGTGTTTCTTGAGGCAGAAAGCAACTCCTGGAGGAATTGTGGGTGTGTGCGACTAAATTTATGTGTCCTTCTCCAGGGTCGGAAAGCAGGCTTGCTGGAGAACAGGCAGAACCCTTTGTAGGGGAAACTACCTGGTCCAGGTGGCTAGAAGTGAAGCCAGTTAAAGTCATTGGATTCATCAAGATACTGTAGAAAAAAGCAAACCCCAAAGCTCAGCAGTTTAACAGCAACCTTCATTTCTTGCTCTGCTGCATGTACCACTCAGGATGGCTGGGGGGGAGGGGAGGGGGGAGGGGCTCTGCTCCACACAGTCGCTCTGAAACCCATAAAACCCACACTAACAGAGGCTCTGCCTTGTAGCTATACTGCGTGGGGTTTGTTGCCTACTCGTTGCCCTGGAGGATCTCACATGGGCTTTTCTACGTTTCATCCCAGAAATGACCCTCCCTCCTGCTCACAGCCCATAGGCCAGGACAAGTCACAGGGCTCTGTAAGGGGGGCTGAGGCCCGAAGTCTTCTGTGTGCCCCAATCAAGGAATAGTGAGGCCTCACATGGTTTGCTGTGTTGATCACGGGGCAGTGCTAGAGGGGGACGCATGAAAGGATGATTAGCATGATTTGCTGACAATCCAGAAGAGATGGAAGGACGGGCAAGCAACAGAAACATATACTTATAAATACAGCACAGCATTCCCAGAAGTTGATTGATGGGCATCAAACTGGCCACTTGGCAAGTGGGATAAATTGGTTATGTGCTTGTGTGTCAAAGGGCAGGGGGATTCAGGCTAGCATAATTCCTGTGGTATTGTTTTGGTGAATTCTCCCGGGAACAAAAAGCAGGGTATTAGAGTGTCTTTTGTGTGACTGCATGCTCAGTGTATGAAGAGCCATAAAGGCCTGTTTTTTATGAAGAACATACTGTTTATTTGGGGTTAATATTGATGGCATATCCATATGAAGTCAGATATGACACTCTGTGTACCTCCCTCCCCATCCCCCCCACTCTCAAATTAAGAAAGGGGTAGAGAAGGAGCTTAAACACATAAGAGTAGAGACGAAACTTTCAACTAAGTAACTCTTTCAAAGAGATTGAGTACTCTGCATGCAGTTGAAATCCATGAGAGTGCATAGTGACACGAACAAAGTGTGTAAACTCTTCTAATTTACAGTTACGTATTTCTAGATAGAAGGCTTTGCCAATGTCGTAAATGTTATAGTCATTTCAATGTATTTACATCATCTTTGGATAAAGAAAGAAATCAGTGATTGAAACGCTTTACCATTCTGTTTGTTTTGGGTTCTGTGGGTTTTTAGCAAATGTTCTACATATTACATCACACCATTCTTTTTTTTTTTTTTTTTTGTCTTTTGTCTTTTTCCGTGTCCGGCAACGGATCGCAACCCTCAGTGTCGCCCCCGTACCGGACCGGGGACCGGCAACGGGATTGCAACCCTCGGCGTCGCTCCCGTGCCTCGCTCAGCCAGTGAGCGGGAACCGGTCTGCATGTGGGATCCGAACCCTCAGGCGGGAGCGCCGCCACGCCTCCCAAGCGGCGCACTATCCAGTGCGCCACCGGGCCGGCCCTACATCACACCATTCTGATGAAAATGCATTGATGGTACCTGCTGGATTTTGTCTCAGTGAACCTATTTTTTAAAAAAGATAACCATTGAGCAAATATTTGCTGTTGGTTTTGCTGAAAGGACCCATTACTATTTTTTTTTTTCTGCTTAAAAAATTCCTCTGTAGCATTCAGTTGATAATATTATATGACTTTTTCAACTTTAACTGCAATAATTCCTTCAGCACACATTTACTGAATACATTCTTCATGCCGGGCTTATACACATATTATTCCTAAGAAGATTTTTAAAACTTGGCTTTAGAAGACTTTTAAAAAATGGAGCTAGAAGTGAGGAAAGAAAGATTTTGAGAAGCAAGAATTTCAGAGCTTCAGAGCGACTTTAAACATTTACCGCGAGGAAACTGATCACAGTCTAAAGGGTATCAGGTTGCCACCTTCCGTACTGAACCTGGGTATGCCTGACGGGGTCAAGTCACTATGAGTCTGATGCCCAGTGAGGGAATGTTCTCTTTCTTCTGACAGAGAACGTTCTCTTGGCTCTCAGCCTTCCACATAGAGCGTCTTTCCTTTGGTGTTGAATGAAGCTGGTTCCAGGATGACTCAGCTAAGCTTTCTAAGAAACATGAAAGATCGTTAGAGGGTTGAAGGGCTGGAAAGTAGAGGTCACTGACATTGATTTATTTTAAAGTTATTATAAAAAGTAATAGAAAATATAAAGGGAAGTTTCCTAACCTTTTCACATCATGGCACAGACAAGGGACACAGTGTTGGTACAGGACGACAGGGGGAGGTGCTGGGAAGCGTGGCCACTAGAGACCACGTGCTGGAGGCAGGTCTATACTCAGGCCTCCCAGGGCAAAATGATAATTAGGACCTTAGGATGTTTCCAGAGAGAGCCATACAAATCCTGCTCAAATGCAACTTCAACTATCAATATTTTTAAATTTTCAAAGTTGTCATCTTTATAAGAACAGTGGGCCATTGCCACCTCCTGGCATGCCTGAACCACACTCGTGGCTGCAGTGAGCACACCACATGGATCCAGGCTCTGCTGGGATGGGGGTTCGGAGTGTTGGATTGGGGGGTCTTTGTTTTGGCTCTGCCCCTAACCAGCTGTGTAACTAGCTATCTGTAGACTCTTTTTCACCATTTGTAAAATCATTAAATTGATGATTTTTTTTTTTTTGGTGTCTGGCTGGTACAGGGATAGAACCCTAGATCTTGGTGTTAGTGCCACATTCTAACCAGCTGAGCTAACTGGCCACCTTAAACCGATGATTTTTAAGGATCCCAGCACCTCAACTGCATGATTTAAGTCCAGTGCTCTTCAGAGGGCTGTGTATAAATTCATGACTTTTTCTTTTTTTTTTTTAAAGAGGACAACCAGATTTACATTTAGGTCGTCTTGGCATATTTCTTGTTGATTTCACAAAGGTTAGGTAAAGGGGTCTCTATAAGAACATTGAAATTAAGCCAGCAAGATCTTTTTCCAGCTGCCCTTCAAGCCTGTGGCCCTGTAGGCAGGTGAAGCCAAGCACCAAATGGCATTAGGTAAAGGTCTATTCTGAGAGTCAAGAGGGGGAGCAGTGCCAGAGAGCAGGGCTGACAGAGAGCACCAAGCTGATCGCGTGACGAGACTCAGCCCTCAGTCTCCACTGCAGTCAGCTGCACCTTAGCTGCCCATGTACTAGCTCAGATGAATTTGGTGCCAGCTCACTTTTGCCATTTGGCATGAACTTGGTAATCTGATACTTTAGTTTATCCTTTTAACTCAGGGAGAAGGGAACACCTAACTATTCCAACTAAAACCAAAAACCGCTTGCTCCCAGAACATATGAAATAAAAACAGGACACGTGTTTTTCCTTGGGTGCTTTGCAACAGACTGTATTGCTGTGCATTCTGTTTGGCCTGCTCCGCCCATGGTCTTTCCCAGTTCAGATGATGGCAACTTCCATCTTTCCAGTCACTCAGGCCAAGAACTCTGGAGTCATCCCACATCCAATCGGCCAGGAAATCGTCTTGGCTCTACCTACACAATGTCCAGAATCCAGCCCCTCTTCACCACCTCCTCTGCCACCAGGGGCTCCGAGTCCCCACCGTCTCTTGGCTGGACTCTTTCAGTAGCCTCCTAACTGCCCTTCCTGCTTTGCCTGTCCTCAACACAGCAGCCAGAGTGATCCCACTGCAACATAAATCACATCATGCCACTCTTCTGCTCAAAACCCTCTGCTTGACATCTCACTCATAGGAAAAGCAAAAATTCTTACTGTGGTCTGTGAGGCCCCACAGGATCCGGCCCTAGTTAACTCTCCGAGCTCTTCTCCTCCTCCTCCTGTTCATTCCTCTCCAATCATACAGGGCTCCTTGTTCCTCAAGCAAGCCAGGCACGCTCCTGCCCCAGGGCCCTTGCTCTGGCTGTTAACTTTGCCTGCAATGCTCTTCCCCCAGATTACTACCTAGCTTCCTCCCACACTTCCTTTGGGTCTTGACCTAATGTCATCTTCTCAGGGAGGTCTACCTTGGCTCCACTATTTATTGTCTATATCCCTTCTTGCTTTCTATTCCTCTGTAGTACTTGCACCACCTAGCATATTTGATTTATTTTCTTTCTCCATTAGAACAGAAGCTTCTTGATGCAGGGTTTTTTTGCCTGTTTTGTTTGCTGCCGTATTCTTAGCAGCTAGGAGAGCACCTGGCACTTAGTAGGTGTTCAGTAATGACTGGATGGTGGTATGACCACCACCCCGTGTCCACAGGATATGAGACAGGAACACTCTCCTCTACAAGGCTGCATGCTCAGACCAGTTTCCTGTCCCTTCCAGAGGACTTTAGGAATTGTCCCGTGCCATTTTCCATCTGGGCTTTGATATGTAGACTATGGCTAGAATTGTTGATCCAGGCTTGAACGCATTTCCCTTTCTCCAGAAATGTGTCCTGATGAGAATCACGGCAATGAGACTGTAGAGACCTGAGTGACCACGAGGGTTAGACGGCAGCTTTGGGGTTGGACAGCAGCTTGGGGTTGGACGGCAGCTTTGGGGTTGGATGACTGCTTTGGAGTTGGACGGCAGCTTTGGGGTTGGACGGCAGCTTGGGGGTTGGACGAGTGACCACGAGGGTTAGACGGCAGCTTTGGGGTTGGACAGCAGCTTGGGGTTGGACGGCAGCTTTGGGGTTGGACGGCAGCTTTGGAGTTGGAGGGCAGCTTTGGAGTTGGACGGCAGCTTTGGGGTTGGACAGTAGCTTGGGGTTGGACAGCAGCTTTGGGGTTGGATGACTGCTTTGGAGTTGGACGGCAGCTTTGGGGTTGGACAGTAGCTTGGGGTTGGACAGCAGCTTTGGGGGTGGACGGCAGCTTTGGAGTTGGACGGCAGCTTTGGGGTTGGACAGTAGCTTGGGGTTGGACAGCAGCTTTGGGGTTGGATGACTGCTTTGGAGTTGGACGGCAGCTTTGGGGTTGGACAGTAGCTTGGGGTTGGACAGCAGCTTTGGGGTTGGATGACTGCTTTGGAGTTGGACGGCAGCTTTGGGGTTGGACAGCAGCTTTGGGGTTGGACGGCAGCTTTGGGGTTGGACAGCAGCTTTGGGGTTGGACGGCAGCTTGGGGTTGGACGGCAGCTTTGGAGTTGGACGGCAGCTTTGGGGTTGGACAGCAGCTTGGGGTTGGACGGCAGCTTGGGCTTGGATGGCAGCTTTGGAGTTGGACAGCAGCTTTGGAGTTGGACGGCAGCTTTGGAGTTGGACGGCAGCTTTGGGGTTGGACGGCAGCTTGGGGTTGGACGGCAGCTTGGGGTTGGATGGCAGCTTTGGAGTTGGACAGCAGCTTTGGAGTTGGACGGCAGCTTTGGAGTTGGACGGCAGCTTTGGGGTTGGACGGCAGCTTGGGGTTGGACGGCAGCTTGGGGTTGGATGGCAGCTTTGGAGTTGGACAGCAGCTTTGGAGTTGGACGGCAGCTTTGGAGTTGGACGGCAGCTTTGGGGTTGGACGGCAGCTTGGGGTTGGACGGCAGCTTGGGGTTGGATGGCAGCTTTGGAGTTGGACAGCAGCTTTGGAGTTGGACGGCAGCTTTGGAGTTGGACGGCAGCTTTGGGGTTGGACGGCAGCTTGGGGTTGGACGGCAGCTTGGGGTTGGATGGCAGCTTTGGAGTTGGACAGCAGCTTTGGAGTTGGACGGCAGCTTTGGAGTTGGACGGCAGCTTTGGGGTTGGACGGCAGCTTGGGGTTGGACGGCAGCTTGGGGTTGGATGGCAGCTTTGGAGTTGGACAGCAGCTTTGGAGTTGGACGGCAGCTTTGGAGTTGGACGGCAGCTTTGGGGTTGGACGGCAGCTTGGGGTTGGACGGCAGCTTGGGGTTGGATGGCAGCTTTGGAGTTGGACAGCAGCTTTGGAGTTGGACGGCAGCTTTGGAGTTGGACGGCAGCTTTGGGGTTGGACGGCAGCTTGGGGTTGGACGGCAGCTTGGGGTTGGATGGCAGCTTTGGAGTTGGACAGCAGCTTTGGAGTTGGACGGCAGCTTTGGGGTTGGACGGCAGCTTTGGGGGTGGACGGCCCCTTTGGGGTTGGACAGCAGCTTGGGGTTGGATGACTGCTTTGGAGTTGGACGGCAGCTTTGGAGTTGGACGGCAGCTTTGGGGTTGGATGGCAGCTTTGGGGGTGGATGGCAGCTTTGCGGTTGGACAGCAGCTTTGGGGGTGGACGGCAGCTTTGGGGTTGGACAGCAGCTTGGGGTTGGACAGCAGCTTTGGGGTTGGATGACTGCTTTGGAGTTGGACGGCAGCTTTGCCTTCTAGGGCAGTGCTTCCATCCTCTAATGTGTACATGAATCATCTGGGGATCTTGCTAAAATGCAGATTCTGATCCAGCAAATCTGAGTGGGGCTGAGATTCTGCATTTCTAACAAGTTCTTCCCAAGAGGTGCTGATGCTGCTTAATTGGGGCCACATTATAAATAGCAAGTTCCAGTACACACCTTTCTACAGGCAAACATTAGAACGGGGCCCCCAAAATCAGCATTTAAAAAGGGCCGAGCCCTGGGACTGGGTTTTGTTGAAAGTCAGGGGCTCCATGACTTTAAAACCTGCACCTATCCTGGGAAGGCCCAGTCTTGGTTAGGTCAACACCCATCCTCGGTCCTTCTCCCAGCCTTTCAGGGCCCTGGCCTCTTCTAGGAAATCCTCAGCTTTGTGCTTCCCCGTGATCACTCTACTTCCAATCCTGTCACAGAAACCAAACCTCAACTTCCTTCCTTCTCCAACTCAAACTTATTTAACCTTCCCCACTTTATTTCCAGTCTCAGAGAAAGAGATATTATTCCTCTGGTCCAGGCTTTTATCTCCTCTTTCCCTGGCTCCCCCAGGGTTTCACTACATCAGGAGGCAGTAAAGTAAAGTGGTTTGGTTGGGGGGATCTGCCATCAGACAGCCTGGAATCTTACTGGCTGGATGACTTAGGTCAGGTCACTCACCATCTCTAAGCCTCACCTTACTCATCTGTAAAATGGGGATGTGAAGATTAAGGAATTAATATAGGAAAAATTTTAGAACGAGGCACACAGCCAGTCAGTTAAAAGTTCTTATTTTGTTCAGTGATTTCTTCCCTCATATGGTCAATATCAAATGGGAAGAGCAATTAGAATTCTGAATGTTGCCCCTATTACCTTGGAGGCTCTGAGGAAGGCTGAATGTTCTCTTCTTTTGAAAGTGGAGAGATTATTCACAACAAGGTTCTTCAGTCTTTTGTTGGGAGGTGTCCCCAAGGCCACTGGTGGGTGATGGTCAATGGTGTCTGCTTGGGTCCTTCCTGACTTTGAAACTAAGTTGACCCATTGGGGCCACCCACCTCCTGGGCTCTTCAGCCCCGTCCACAGCAACGGTTGTTCTGGCCCTTTTCTCCTCTCTCAAAACCTTGCTCTTGGCTTCCTGTTCAGTCCCTGAATCTTCCTGATCTTCCTGCTTTGTTTCCTATTTCTGTCTCTGTGCTAATTCTTTTACCTTGAGGACAGATTTTGGCTTTTCTCACTTTGACCATTGGCACCCGAAGGACACTTATTCCCTTGTTTTCTGTTTTTTTTTTCTACTCCTGGCCACTCTGGATGTCCTTGCTCACTGAGCCGCAACCTACAGGGCCTTATGTCAATGTAGGGTGGACTGGCCGGCTCAGCTTGTCGCTGTTCCTCAGGGATGACTGGACAGTGGTACATGATAATCAAAATAATGATGATTTATACTTGTTGAACACTTACTGTTGTCTTGGGTAGTTTAGATGGATTGTTGCTTTTCATTTTAACTGCAGATCTGCAAAGTTTTATCCTCATTTTTCCAATAAGGAAAGTAGAGCTCAGTGAGGTTAAACTCAAAACCACACACACACGGTTAAAGGGGATCAGCATATGCTACTCCAAAAGATGCCACTGTGGCATAAGGGTAATTTTGAATGGAAGGTAACTGAGAATCAACAAATGCAGGAAGAGTTCTTTGCCCTCCCCTTGTCTGTCTAAAGCAGGGCATAAATTTTCCTTTATCACTGGGCATGGGGTGTAGACACTGAGACGAGTTTGCGTAAACGGACCTTATTAAAACACCTTTATCTTCCATTAGTTCCCCCATATATTTCCTAGTCCCTTTCCCTTGTTTTACCATCCCTTGAAGCCCAAACCCCATTTCCTTTGTTAAAATGGTATACAAACCTCCAAATCTAACTGCTTCTTTTTCTTTTGGTTCTTTTCTGTGAACTCTGGTGCACATAATAATTAACAAAAACTGTGTGCCTTTTCCTCTGTTTGTCTTTTGTTAGCTTAATTCACAGTCCCCCAGGTACTAAACCTAAGAGGGTAGAGAAGTTTTTCCACCCAATATGATAAATACAATTCAGTTCATGGGCCCCAGAAAACCTTTCCTCCTTCCGTGGCAGCTGTTCTCTCTTCCCTTGCTCCTGCCACTGCCTTTACCCAGACCCACATCAGCTCGTTCAGCTACTCCAGGAGCTTCTCCCCTCCAGCCGCCCTCGGTGGTGCTGCTGCCGGGGAACTCCGGGAGGCAGGTGTGAGCGTGCCTGGCTCCCGTGTGGAGCTTCAGCCGCTCTCCCAGTCAACAGGAGAAAGCCTCTCAGCCTGGCTTCTCATCGCTGCCACAAACCTGTCCCACCCCTACCAGACTTCCTTTCTCGGAACTTTCTGAGCCTCTGTGGTACATGCTTTCTCCCCTGCCCAGATTTTCTTCCCTCGCGCTTGGCCATCTGCACGGACGATCTATTGGACTCACCCTTCCAGGCTGGCCTTGAACAGCGCCTCCTCTGTTAGGTCATCGTCAGGGAGAGCTAGTCACCTCCCCTGGGCTCCTTGCCGGCTACTGTCTTTGAACCCTTTCAACACTGCATTTTAATGATCTGTTTACGAACCCACTTCCCCTCCACACCCCAGGTCTGTAGGCTCCTTGAGGACAGGGACTGCAATGTACTCATCCTGTATCCCTGACGCTCAGCCCAGAAGGTGGCAAGGGACTGTGTAAACGTTTAATAAATGAGATACTGACAACTGGCTTTTGTCTAAGTGATAAAACAAATGGCTCTTTTATGTCCCAATTATGCTAAGTTTACTCCAATCCTATCACCATTTTTTCTTTTTTTTTGGTGGCTGGCCGGTGTGGGGATCTGTAATCCTATCATCTTTATAGGCAAGGAATTGTTGGTCCAGGGTGGTGATGTAATTTGCCTAATGCCATGGTACTGTTACGGGTGGCACTGGGATAGCCTCTGGCTCCTCTGGTTTGGACTCTTATGGTCAATTGTCTGTGGGACCTGACACTGGGCAGAAGAGACACCTTTATATTGGCTCCCAGTATTGAGCAGTTACATAATTGTGTTGAAGGAAATAGTCATCTCTACCAACAACACATGTTTATGGTACATTATTTTAGCTTCCTGCTGACATTGTTGAATTAGAACAATTCTAGAGTATTTTTTTTTTTTTTTTGTATGGGAAGATCATGAATAGCACTCTAAAATTATTAGTGTAGCCTAATATAAGTGATTAGAAAAGAAAACACTGAATGTTTTACTTCTGGAAAGACCTACTTGAATATCAGAGAATGCTAGAAGTGGAAAAAAACTTCACCTAATGTCACTATAGAATTATTGCTTTTCATGTTGCATTATTATTAATGATTCACACCATTATAAATGTATTTTGGGGAAACAAGGTCTTTAATATAAAGTAATTTAAATTGCTCTCTAGCATCTTAAATGTCAAACCAGGGCAAAATCTTACCTGGTAAAGATTGTGGAGTCATGATTTTCACATAAATGGGGTGAGCATTTATCATTTTGTTTGCTAAGTGCTCTCCCTTCTGAGACAGTGTTTTGTGAAACTGCTGGTCCATTCTATGAAGCAAAAGGGAGTTGCACTTTTAAAATTTGACCTCTACTCCCTGGTGTCGTGCTTGTCTCTGGGCGGGAAGTTGTAATGACTGCTCTGAGAATGGGCATGTGTCCTGAACTAGACCAAGCAGAGTCTTTCCTTAGCATTTTTTAAAAAACAGAAATGGTAGGAGGGAAAAAGAGTTTCTCTACTTTCTTGCTTTGATGCTGGGAAGATGCAAATATACCATCTGTGAATGGCTCTCACTCTAGCCTGGGGTGGATAAGAGTGATCTGCAAGATTGAAGCCAGCTAGCAGAGAGAAGCAGAGGGAAGGGAAGAGAAAGAAGGAGAGAGATTTTGATAGTGATGGAGGCCCTGGTTGCAGTTGTTTACAAGGCTCCTCTCTTCCTTAGTCTGGTATCAGCCAGTGATATATGAGGGGGCTTCAAAACATTCACGGAAAGACCTGTATTATCTTTTAATTCTATTTTTGCACGAACTTTCTGAAGCACCCTAGTATATATTTTTTCTTTTTTTGCTGGCTTGGGTTTTGAAGCTTTGCAACTAACCATTGATAAAAGTTCTAACACATGCAGACTTTGTTTTGCCTTGTTAGCTAGTTAGGCAAATGTGCCTTCTCTAGCCTAAAATGTAGATCACATTGTCTGTGTGAGGCAAATATTTATAAGCATGCTGTATTTTTATTTCCTAAGTTCTTTCCTACTTCGACATTTACTCTATATTATTTATGTAATAGGAAATTGGAAAAAGAGAGTTCGGGAAATGAGTTCAGCAACCTGGCTAAACTTATCCAGCTGCCAGGCAATCTGGTCCACCAGGCAGACTTTAATCTGGAGAACTTCTTTAAAAAAATTAACCGGTTTGGTACAAAAGTTTTTGTTGAAATATTTTATAGTACAGAGCAGAACTGGCTCTCTTAAGAAGGAGCCTATTTATAGCAGTAATTGCTTTGAAAAAAATTTTTTTTGTCTCAAGCACATGTTCAAAGTAACAGCACATTGAATAGATACATTAATCAAATAAAATATTTATATTTTGTACTAAATTCTGGAATTTTGAAGGCAGGACAACTGAAATGAATTTCACTTAGTCTAGTGTAAATCATAGAGTTCTTGGTTGGGGGGGGCAGCACTTAAAAATACAATTTCCATGGCTTTAGTTTCTTTGGGATTTTTCTGCAGGAGAGGGTTGGGGTCTGGTGAGTGGGTAAAGGAAAATGAAGAGAAAAAAATTATTGTAAGAGTTATGATGCTGGCACAATGTACATGGGCACCTAGAAGGATAGGTGAAAAGCGCTTTTTCTCAATTGTCATCTATCAGCCTTTGAATTCATTCTTGCCTGAAGTGTTCCTTTTATAGGTAAAAGGAAAAACAGAAGAAAATGAGAAAATTTCTGTCTAGTTCTGCAGAGGTTAGGGTAAACCAACAAAGTTAGTTCCCCTGAGCCTGAT